ATCCATTTCCTCAACAAGGTAGTAAATTCCAAAGTTTCTGTGCTAAACTTCGTTTTATGAAACCAAATTATTGGCTAATATTCTTGTAATTAAATGTAGTTCGCTCAATGTTTATTCAAACAGAAATCACACCTAATCAGGATTCCCTAAAATTTATTCCTGGGATCCCGGTAATGCCGGACAACGGTACAGCAGAATTTTTATCAGGGAATTCTGCATCAGTTTCACCTCTTGCCAAAAAGCTTTTTCAAATTGAAGGAGTTCGTGGGGTATTCTTTGGACCAGATTTTATTACAATTAGTAAAGATCAAGATACGCCATGGCAACTGATGAAACCGGATATTTATGCAAACATTATGGACTTCTTTTCTTCGGGTCAACCTATTCTAATGGAATCACAACCACCTTCAGATACTGAAATCAAAGATGATGACCCTGAGGTGGTGCAAATGATCAAAGAACTATTAGATACTAGAATTAGACCCACTATACAAGATGATGGTGGCGACATCGAATATCGTGGGTTTGAGGATGGAACTGTAAAACTAAAATTAAAGGGCGCCTGTAGATCCTGTGATTCTTCAGTAGTGACTCTCAAAAATGGGATTAAAAACATGTTAATGCATTACATTCCTGAGGTCACCGACGTAGAACAAGTTTTGGATGAGGAAGAAGCTATTTCACAGATTGAATTCGAAAAGCTGGAAAAGAAATTGCATGAGGTGTAGCTACTGATATAATACTGATGGATTTTGTTAAATTACAGATACTCATTGATGTATTATGATGATAAAAAAAAAAAACCAGGAAAATTAACCTTGCAACAAATGATTGAAATTTAATTTAACTGCCATAATAATATAAAATTAAAAAATATTTTCAAGCGTGTAACATAAAAATAAAAAAATTCTTTAATTTGATCATATTATTTTCAAACACTAACTAGTACGTGTTTATATTTAACAAATTAAAGTATAGGACAAACAAGATGGCACCAAATTTTTTTAATTAAAATTTTTAATAAATAATTTTGTTAGTAATATTTTTAAAAATCTTGTGTATTAAAGCAAAACCAATATAAAATATA